TGGCACAGTCAATGCAGTCATGCTTTTTTTTTGTGGAATTGCAAACATGACAAAACACACACACACACACACACACACACACACACACACACACACACAAGTTGAAGATGCAGGATAATCAGTTCAATCAAACATCCGAGCCGCAGCTATTGAACTCCTTTCATCCAAAGAGACCCTCATGCAAGGAATATGAACGAGAGCAATAGACAGAAATCCAAATTGCAAAATCACGAAGTAGTCCAGATAGTCATGTACCAAGCAGAGAGCACAGTGCACCAAGATACCATCCAAATAAGAGCAATACAATGAACTCGAATGTCGATGCCGACGCTCTCCGGCGCTCAGCGCCCAGCCTACACTACTCAGTCTACCTAGTCTATCTACATTCATGCAACCGGAGCACATCGTACTTGAAGACCAATGTACGTGACGTCATCACCAATGCAGACCCCAGCATACACCAGGTACATTTCTCTCTCCTCCCCTTATCACGCTCTGTCTCCCTCTACATGCGCCGTACCTGGGGTACCAGGCAGTTGCAGCACGCCAGTTGGTTACAGAGCAACGTGAGCCTTCCCTGGCTCCTTCCAGAGGCAGCAGCTGCGTCGTACAGTTGAGCCCACGGCTCATTCAGTTGAGCCCTTGGGCACACGCAGTGAGGGGCCGACACATCACTCAGAGACCGCGGACCAATGAGAATGCAGCATTGTCGTCACACATGTTCCGCGAGCCAATGAGAATGCGGCAAACAGTTGGATCCTGGAGGGCTACCTGGACGTGCCTAAATGCACAAGGCCCAGGCCAGTATCTGAAACTGAACCTGGGCGCAGACACTTGGGGCCAACCTGAAGCTACTGGGCCACGAAACGCCGGGCCCAGAGGAGCCGACGGCAGGGCACACTTTCCATGTATAGGAAAGTGAGTGCCCAGGGGCAACAGGCCCGCCTTCACTTAGGGCGGGCACGAGGCTTGCTGGGGCCGCAGCCCAGAAAACTTGCATGCCCGAGAAGCGCTTCCGCGAGGGCTCAATCCTCGCACTCACATATCATCTTGTGCGTCTACGATAATTAGGCCGGTGAGAACAGACCCAGCTCATGTGGCCTGACTGGTACACACAGTGTCAGAAACATGTATGTGTCATGTGACTGTAAACAGATCATGAGCTCGAATCCCAATGGAATGAGGTGAATCGAATGTAATGATAGGGGGCTTGACACCTTCAAAAAAAGGAAAAAAACAAACAAACAAAAAAAAGGGAATAAATGCAGTCATCGGTTTCAAATGACACGGCAAAAATAGAGGGTTATTCTCACTGCCCCAACCATATCTTCATCGAGCTGGTCCTGTGGGGAAAAAAAAAAAAAAAACAAGAAAAAAAAAAAAAGAAAAAGGCTTTAAAAGAGTGAGACGTGACTACAGAACTGAGTGGGATGGAGGGGAGATCCGACATTCCCAATTGCATTTTTTCAATTTTTTTGTTTTTTTTTATTTTAAATTTTAATTGCAAAAAGGAAACAAATTTAACAAAATTGAAATTTACAGAAAGTAGAAAGTTACTAGAAACTCGGACTCCAGACTCAAGGGAAAATGGAGGCAGGATCCTGAATCTAGACCCCACCCACGGACCCCATTTTCCATCCCCTGGACGAAGTACCTGACTATTAGACCGGTCAGGACCCGAAGCATGCAGTGGCTCGTAGCGCACACATCTCTGCCGGTCAATCAATGGCTCCATAAGAGGAGGAAGTATACAAGCCACTGCATGCTTCGGATCCTGACAGGTCCAAATTGTGCAGGTTGTGCACAGACAACATCCCCGAAGATACACCCCACTGCCTCCTGTATTGTACTGAAGCAGCATGGATATGGAACAAGGTACACGGCCTATGGTCCCTACTCTTCTCATCGCCCCCTCCGTCCACAACTACTATCTGACCATCCTGCTCCTCTCCAGCAACACTAACAATCTCAAAGGGGGCAAGTAGGTCTGGTTTCACCTGCTCAGGAAGCTGGCGCTATGGGTAATCTGGAAAAGGAGGGTGTACCAACACGATCGAGGGTATCGACGTGGCAAGGGAGGAAATGTGGGTTCTACTGCTGGGAATGGTGGAAAAAACTGAGATTCGATCCAGATGGAGGGAGGTGACATCAACAACGAAAGGCAGACCAGAAAAGAACAGCCATCACGAGATGTTCTTTCGAGAGAAACTGCCTGTTGCAGGGAAACATTGCAACGGTCAGACAGAACAGACTGATTTGGAAGAAATGGCATAGCGCAATTCCAGCAAGGACGATGACCCAGTGAAGGGCAAACTGAGATTACAATCTCAACAATATAAGACAACTCTCCTCTTTTTTTCTTGCTTTACAGTGTTTACACGAAGCATCTGCCAGAGTCATGGTAGATTCTGAGAGGAAAAGCGGTAGGGCAAGCTGACATTCAATCCTCCGTCTCTGGAGCAATCAATGCTTGTGAGGGTTCCTTCGGCCAGACGGAAGGAAGCGTGAGAGTGTTCACCACCATGTATTCCAATTCTCGACTTGCCGGTGGAAAGGAACCGGAATGGCGCTCCCCAGAAAGGATATGGAGCCAGGACCATAAGGACCTGTTTCAAGTTTCAACCCAAAAAAAAAAAAAAAAAAAAAAAAACCTAGAAACTTCAAGGGAAAAAGACAGATGTAATGACCCGTCAAAACACAGACTGAGAACACTGCTGATTTCTGAAGTTCTGCCGATAGAATGGATGCCTTGCTGAGATTCCCGCATTCTGCTGTGTTTTCTAAGTCTGTCTGTGTGTGCGTGCTGTGACCTGCGTGCCTGTCTGAGTGCTTGTCGGTATGAGTGTGTGTGTGACCCGCAAGGGTACTTGCTTGTTTGGCAGGCCCATAGGGCCGGTACTTACCTGTGGCCGTGGCATTAAGGGTTGTAGCAGGGAAAAAACACTCAAGTGGCGAAGCTAGCGGCCCCGCGGCCCTTGGGGTAGCGGAAAAACACTCTATTGGGCCGGTAGGCCGATACTGCACCCCACTGCAGTTGGCGTGAGGGGGTACTGGAGGCCGAGCAGAAAAAGACAACGTTGGCATTTTTAGAGTCCAGTAGCGGTAGGGTAGGTCTAGGCCGGTACCAGTCCGACCAGTCTGAGTCTAGAGCCTGTACGGGTAATATCAGGGTCTGCAATGATGTTTCCCTCCGAAATGGAGGAAGTACCGGTTGCTTGGAGAGGCGAGCGGCCTGGAAGTCACCGCCCAGGAGGCAAGTAGGCCGCTATATCAAGAGGCCGGGCGGAGAGCCCAGCCTCATTCTTCAGTGTGCAAGTTTGGCGACACGCTGCTGGAGCGCTGGCTGGAGTAGCGCTGGGTACTACAGCGCTGCTGGGAGGAAGAAGCCGGGAGCTTCCACCTTGGCTATGGTGGAGCTCTACCGGTAGGAGGAGGAGGGAGAAGGGGACCAAGGAGGAGAGTGGTGAGGCACTTACTGGCTATGGTAGACACCATCTTCATCTCCTTGCTAGGCGCTGCATCAGGAAGGCCCCAGTGGGTTTAGTGCCGCATCAAGGAAGCTCGGGACAGAGTCAGGCATGGTGGCTGAGAGAGCAGCGGCATAGCTGCATGGTGATGACCTTGAAGTGGAGCAGCGGCATAGCTGCTTTGGGTTGTCCTTTGGACGGGAGGCTGAAGCCTCAGTAGTCCACCATAGCCTCGGCCTGTATGTAGAGGAAGAGGAAGGGTTGCCATGGCTATGGTGGACCTCATGTTGTGCCTGAAGCAGAAGTGGGATTCGGACATTGATTCTGGTTCAATCATTCAACATTATTATTGTTATTTCTTGTTTGAATAAGAGGGGAGGAGATAAGGAGGAAGGGATTGGTTGGCGAAGAAGAAGAGCCTTGACATTGGTCTATGCTGGAATACATCATCATCTTCTTCTTTCTCACTTCTTCTTCTTCTTCTTTCCCTCTCTTTCCTCTCAAGTTCATTCATTTCTTTTTGCAATTGGATGGCATTGTACTTTCAGATGAATGTATACTTCGAAATTGGCCAGGATCGTAACACAGAGCTAGTACACCCTTGAAAAACTGTTGAAATACAGACCAGGTGCTCAGTTCAAACTCCGCTGGAAGCAGATGAGTAAAAATATCATGGTTGCCCCGGACCCGGACATCCGGACACCGGGCCTGGACCTGCGTCTGGATTAATCCGGACACTGTTCCGGACAACCGGACATGCGGACCCGGACGGTCCGGATGTGAATCAACAGGTCCGGATGTCCGAAAAAAAAAAAAAAAAAAAAAAAAAAAAAAAAAAAAAAAAAAAAAAAAAAGAAGAAGAAGAAGAAGAAGAGGAAAGAAGGAGAAGAAGAACAAGAAGCCGGACAGACACACGATGCTGTAGTTGTATTAGCTGACTTATCTTTCACACTCACATACACACACAGTGTCACACACACACGCACAGTGTCGCACACACACACAGACAGTGTCGCACACGATGCTGTAGTTGTATTATCCGACGTATCTTTAACACACACACACACACACACACACACACACACACAGTGTCACACACACACACACACACACACACACACACACACACAGCGTTRCACACACACACACACCAACCAGTTCTCCTTGGCCCGCTGAAGCTCACCCAAGATTGCAAGTACAGGCCCTTCAGGGCCGGTCCGGTTGGCCTAACGGTCCGCCAAAAACTGCGCCGACAATTTTCGGGGGACCACCAGGCACTGGAAAGTCGCCTGGGGACCCCCCAAAAAAAATTCGAATTTTCTAAAAATGGGGCCCTCCCGGACCCCCCAAACCGGACACCGGATCCGGACATCCAGACTGGACCGTCTGGATCCCAATCCGGACGTCCGGTTGACAACCATGAAAAATATACTAGAATTCTGAATTACCCAGGGCCGGTCAGCTCAGTTCGATAACAACTAGAACAAGACCATCGCCCTTTATAAATACAAAAAAGGAAAGGAAAGAAAGAGGAACAAAAAAAGGAAAAAAGGAAGGAAAAAAAAACTCACTGCATAACACAGCAGGCAAACCCTGGCCTTGACACCGTTTGGATCAATCTGCAGAAGACGACAAAAACAAAAAAGGCAGGGGGGTGATTCAATGATTGCCACAAGTTAACAGCATGATGAAGAATTGCGGAAAACAACAAAGCACCTCGTCATCTACTAATGATTTTACAGAAATTCTCATTTTATAAATTTGATGGATTTGAACTTTTGAAGGATTTGATGGATTTGATAATTTTGATGTTATTTGATGGATTTGATGGATTTGATTGATTCGATGGAATTGATGGAATTTGACTCGCAAAGAATTGCTGACCATAATAAATTATTAATAATCCCTCTTTTTTTCAAGTTTTTTTAGCATTCAAATTTCAGAGCTGCCCCTACCCTTGCCAGTACCTCGAGCTACCGTCTTCCCCCGAATAGAACGTAGTACGTACGGAGTCTACGGACATTATCATGGTTTCTAGCCTGAAATTTGGGGGGATTGTGGGTAGAAGAAGGTAACCCATTTGGTAGAAGGAGAAGGTAGATTCAATCAGTGAAAGCGTTTGACAAAATAATGTTATTAAACCCTCTCTTCTTTTCCAGGAAAGTTCAGCTGCGCTTGTGGAGCTTGAGCTTTTCTGACGGTTTGATCGTGTTCCGTCTCCAGCGAAGTCCTGTTATACCCATTTCGGCTTTTTTTTTCTTCTGATGAGGTGAGACTGAGACAGCTCTCTAGCTGGCTGTGTGTTCTTTGTCCAACCTCATTATTATCCATTCAATTGTACATTAATTATTAGGATTTATAGAATTTTGGCATTGAACCTACTCCTACTTGGCCAGTGATGACCTGACAGAATTTGGTAGATTGGAAGATAGGAAAAGAAAAAAAGAAAGGAGGGTCAAGAAGGATGTCATTGCATCAGTACCTCTGGGCCTCAGCCCTCCTCCGTGCACCTGCACGGATTCTAACCAGCGACCTCAGCCTCAAGAAGAGCCAAGTATCGTAACCACTACAGCCAGGACATGGTGTTCAAAAGCGGAACCATACCGAGCCCCACCGTGATATCTGCCCTACCCCTGCAAGGCTGTAGTGTCCACACTCAACACACACCACACACAACGCCACACGGACGCTGGCAATCACCGCACAATTCGCTCCAAGTAGCACATGACCTCCATAAAACTGTGATATCCGCCCCAACCGGCGACCTGCAAGAAGGATGCCCTTTGGGGGAGGGAAGTTCAGGAAACCAAAAAAATACAAAGAAATAGCGAAAAAGAAAAGGGAGAGTGATCCTGCGAGACACACTATATACCAAATCGAGAAGCTGCGCCATACCATCAAACCGTGTTTACCCCGGACCCAGACAAGGGACAGATCTAAACGGTCCAGCCCAACTTGTGTCTCGCTGCATCGAGCCATGGATACCTCGGGGCCAGACACCGGTACAGTAGATAGAAATCATTTCAAATAAAGAAAAAAAAATCGAGTGAGCGATCCTGCGGGACACGCTATATGCCAAATCTGGAAACTGCGCCATATCATCGAACCGAGTTTACCCCGGACCCAGCCTCTCTCTCTTCCCCACCTTGTGCCGGCTTTTCTCATCGCTCTGGACTTTCTTCATACTATGCCGGCTTTTCTCCTCGCTCTGGACTTTCTTCATACTACTCTTCAGCGAACTCGCATTTGCACTCCACTCCACACTAGATAGAGCGGCAGAGTCTCTTCCCAACCTTGTGCCGGCTCCTCTCCTCACTCCTGAACTTGTTTCCTACCACTCTTCAGCAAATTCACATTTGCACTCCACTCCACACTAGATAGAGTGTTAGGGACCACCTCTCTCCACACAACATAGAGTGGTAGGGACTACCACTCTATGTGAATTTGCTGAAGAGGGGTAGGAAGGAAGTGCAGAAGCGAGTGAGGAGAAGAGCCGGCACAAGGTGGGGAAGAGAGAGAGAGAGAGAGAGAGAGAGAGAGAGAGAGAGAGAGAGAGAGAGAGAGAGAGAGAGAGAGAGAGAGAGAGAGACTTGCCCACTGTTGAGCATGTGAGGGCATACTCGCATTAAGATTTTCTGGAATCAGCTCTGGACGTGATTGCAGTCAGCTGCATTCAGGTCTGGACGTATTTGCGGTCAGATACCTGTAGGGAAGTGCTAGTGTGAGTATGTCCTGTGAGTGTGAGAGAAAGGGTGGGGCAGTGAGAGTGAGAGCAAAAGCCTTTTGAAAGGAGCAAACCCAACCCACGTGATGGAATGGTACACAAATGTATTTGTAATAAATAGGTCATGAGTTCGAATCCTCACAAAATTAGACAGATACAACAATTTCAGGGGCTACTCCTTTTTCTTTTTTTTTTAAATGTGGGAACAATACTGTGTGTGAAGGCAACAAGGAACTGGCAGAGAGACAGAGAGCACATGAGACAAAAAGAATGGCAAAACGGGAGGGAGAGTCAAAGAAAGATCACGGGTAAGAGACTGAGGGTAAGTTGAAAAGAAACACACTCTGTGAGAGAGAGAGAGAGAGAGAGAGAGAGAGAGAGAGAGAGAG